AAAAAAATTTTTGAAATTCTATTTTGTTGACCCGGCCGGGATATGAAAACCGAAACTATAAGTTTGTATGGCCTTATATATAAAAAATAACATTTAATTGTTAATTTATCTAAGATATATAGTATTTCATATGTGCAAATTACTATTAAATTTATAAAATATTTATATTTTAGATTTTGTAACTATATAGAATTTTTTTAATGAATGAAGAAAAAAACTTTTAAAACTATATAAAAAAACATAGTAATTTGCATATAGTTACTATATAATAATACTGTCATTTTTCTTATTGTAGATATTTTATAAATCTTGAACTTGTAAAAAACATAATACAACACCCGGGAAACTTGTATTACTATTGCAAAAACCAGAAACTTATATCAAAATAATAAAGACAAAAATATTATATTGTTCTAACAGATTTTATTATGTTTGTTAAAATTATGTTTATTATTTTTTTAATAATCATGGATAGTCAAATTCATAATTCAGGTGAAATTAATAATTTCACTACTGAAATCGACAAGGAAATTGAAAATAATCAGATTTAGGTGTTGAAACACAATTGAAAGGAAAAGAAAGAGAAATAAGTCAAGAAGCAAAAGTCAGACTAATAAAGATAATGACACTGGACCGTCAGATTTAAAAGAAGTTGATAAAGACTATTAAAATGTCTATGTTGATGAGCCAGAAAGTCTTCGATGTTAACATTAAAGAAATTGAAGTCGATGGAGATTTTGGCTTTTTTTGTTTCTCTTCGAATTTTTCTAATTTAAGAAAATTTTATTTATTATCTTTATTATTATAACGTTTGTTAAAATAAAGATTATTAACAAAGTTTATATGATATCAACGGTCAGTAAAACTTTATTTGAATTTTTAAAAAGCAAAAAAAAAATATTATTCATGAAAATTTATACAGCTACATTATATTATATAATTTGAATTAATTACATCTTTTTTTTGTTTGTTCAACCACATTATTCACTTTTTCATCTTTTAGATCATCTATTTTTTTATTTAATTCGTCTAATTTTTTATTTAGCTCATCTATTTTTCCATTTTTTCATGCTTTCATTCCTCAATTCATCGATTATCAACAGCAAATTACTCTGGACTTGATTTCTAGCAGCAATTGTTTCGGTAATTTTATTTTTAATTTTTAATTTTCTCCTCGTTTTCCACCTTTTCATGTTGTAACTTGGCAAGCTCTTCTTGTAGAACACAGTACTTTAATGTGAGATCCGTATTTATTTTTTGGAGCTCTGAATGGTTTGCTTCGAGGTTCTGAATCTTATTTTTTGATTCTTGAGTTTGTGCTTTAAGGTCTTTAATCTTATTTTTTGCTTCTTGAATTTGTACTTTGAGTTCTTTGTATAACAATTTAAGATTCACTTTTTCCGTTTCGAACTCGAATCTTATTTTTGATTCTTGAATTTGTGATTCAAGTTCCTTAGATTGTATTTTCTACAGTATTATTAACATTAAACCTTAGCAACAAGCCAATCGATCAGCCTTTTTCGAGTCATTAAAAGTTTATAAGATGAAAATAGTATAGAATGAAAAATTTTTACATGTCATTACAAAATCTGTATAACAGTCCGAATGGAACAAAGATTCTACGCGTTAACGAAATCTGTATTAGTAATATATTTTCGAATAATCTTTAATCTTTGTGAACTAATGAAGAATTCTTTTATTTCGTTTTTCTAGTATAATAAAAATTATGTAATTTGATTTGTTAATTATCATGGGCAATTATGTCTACCGTTAAATCACATGCCATTATGAACTAAGTTTACAATCTAAGAAATCTAAGTGTTCTAAGAAGAGATACGAACTACAAAAATTTTGCACTCAATTTATATTACATTTTCTTATATCAAACAACTTCATACTAATCAATAAACGTTTTTGTATTCTAAAAACATAATATCGAAAATATCTTAATTTAAAATTTTGACATTTTAAATTTTGTTCAAAGAAAATAATTATTACTAAATCTTAAAATGCAACAATTATTTATTCATTCATCCATAATAACCTTGAAAATTTCTTTGAATAAAAATGAAATCTCTAAAAATCAATGCTGACAGTGTAAAATTTAATAAAACTAATAATGGTGCTAATAATGCCCCATAAACCTTAAATTCAAAAAAAGATTTCTATTATCAGCAAACACGGCAGATATGACTGTGACGTTGTTGCTCAAAAAAATCATTACTAATAATAAAATTATACAAAAAATAATAAAAGTAAAAGTAATGCATTTAAATTTTTTTGAGCTTCGATTATTATTGTTAATGATAACTGTCGCGCTATTCACACTCATTTCTTCATTTCGTGTATCATTAGGATCTTTAAAAACAATTTTATTTAACTAACAATATAAT